TTTTTTTTTTTTTTTTTTCCGTTAATTATTCTTTTTCCGCGTTCGTCCTTCATGTCATTTCCCTCTCTGCTTCCAATCTTGGTCGGGAAAGGGCGGACTTGGTCGGGATCCCAACGACAAGACCAAATGGTTGACGACAGGGAAAGGGCGACCGTGGCCGGGATCCCGTTCACTCCCGTTCGATTGATACTCCATTTGTGGCCGTTGATCTTGACAGCGACCAGGATCGGCGAATCGGGGAAAGAGGGACCTGGACTCTGAGACTCCGCTTCTTTTTTTTTTCTTAATTTATTTTTAGAACAAAAGAAAATCTTTTCTTACGATAAAAATAAGGAGGGCGGGAATCCCTCCTGTGCGCCGAAGCTGACTCTTTTCTTGCGAAAGATGGAGGCGTGGGATGTGTTTCTTTTTCCTTTTTTGGAAAGGATCTGTCTTGGTGAGGTCGGATTGAGATAAATAAACAAAAAATAAACGAATGCTCAGAAAAAAGTCCCGCTTCACCGAGTCCAGTGCTTCTGATCCTTGATTGGTGGATTTTTTTATTTTTATTTTTCGGGGGGGGGGGTAAATCTGCGGCTTCATGTCAATTAATTTTTAATTTTCCTTTTTAAAATGAGGGCAAAAAAAGCTTGCAAGCTGGCAGACGTTTGAGCTTTAGGGCCTGGCCACACTACTCTCTCCACATGCAGAAAAGACACAAAAAATGGCAATGTATCTTTCAATGTTCTAGCGGAGCATTCGTTCTCATTTTGCCCATTTGGAGAGTAGTGGCGCGAGGCCCATATGCATTTAGTTACGCAACTGGGTTGGGATCCCAACATGCAGGTCGGACCACGAGGTCAGTGAAAAAAAAAAAAGACGAAAAAACGACCTCACAAGAAAGGAGATGTTTTTTTTTTTCTTTTCTTTTCTCTTCTTTTTAAAAGAAAACAAGGAAAGCAGCTGGCTACAACAATGAGGGCGAGTGTATATTTTTTTTTAAGGCGTTGCGACTGCTCTCCATAAAATTAAATTGTGCTCTTATCTATTCTCTGATCGAGAGGAGGGGGGGGGGGGGGGGGAAAAGGGGAGAACCGGATCCTAATGGCGAAAAAAAGATGGGAGATGCAAGCCTGGAGGAAGCTACCGTCTTCCCCGAACACAATGCACCCTTAGGATGTACATTCAAGATCAGGGTGCGTTGTATTCGGGGGAAGAGGGTAGAGAAAACGAGCAAAGCATGGCAGACGGTCTAGAACCACGTCGATGGCACGCAGAGGGGCAGAGAGGAGGAGACAGGAAAAAGAGAGAGGAAGAGGAGAGGAGGAGAGAGGAGGAGGGAGGAGGAGAGAGGAGGAGAGGTGGAGGACGAGAGAGGAAGAGGAGGGAAGAGGGGGAGAGGAGGGAGGAGGAGAGAGGAGGAGGACGAGAGAGGAAGAGGAGAGGAGAAAGGAAGAGGAGAGGAGGGAGGAGAGAGGAGGAGAGGAGGTGAGGAGGAGAGGAGATCAGAGGAGGAGAGAGGAGGAGAGGAGGTGAGGAGGAGAGGAGATCAGAGGAGGAGNGAGGAGGTGAGGAGGAGAGGAGATCAGAGGAGGAGAGAGGAGGAGAGGAGGTGAGGAGGAGAGGAGATCAGAGGAGGAGAGAGGAGGAGAGGAGGAGAGGAGGAGGAAGAGAGGAGGAGAGCAGTAGAGAGGAAGAGGGTGAAGAGGAGGAGGAAGAGAGGAGGAGGAGAGCAGTAGAGAGGAGGGAAGGTGAGAGGAGGAGAGAGGAGGAGAGGAAGAGGGCAGTAGAGAGGACGAGGAGGAGGAGAGGAGGAGGAGAGCAGTAGAGAGGAGGAGGAGGAGGAGGAGGAGGAGGAGGAGGAGGAGGAGGAAAAGATGGAGGTAAACGGGTAGAAGGATTCTCACGGCTGGACGTTTGCGAATGTATCTAACTTAAATGTTCGCCGGGTTCTGTTTAACAAAGAGTAGCCGTTGTTTTTTTTTTTTTTTTTTTTTGGGAATTTTGGACACTTTACGGTAACGGCATTGTGGAAGACGACGACTTGAAAGCGTGGCCAGATTTCTTTTACTATTTTCGAAAAAGAAATTAAAAAAAACGGAGCGTCACCAGGATTGAGGTCTTGCGATAATTATTGATGGCTCCGCTCTATCTTTTGGTGGTATGCTGCACCTTGTCTTCTTCTTCTTCTTTTCTGTCCTTCTTCGTCTATTTCTTTTTTTTGTTAATTATTCTTTTTTATTATTTTTGTTTGGTGTTCCGCTTCACATCTTCAGCGGAAGCACATGGAGCACCAGCTTTTTTTTAACCTCTTTTTTTTTCTGACCAGTATAATCTCTGTTAAAAAAGAAAAAAAAAAAACAAGGGTATGCTCACGTTGTGCAAGCTTTTCTTTTCTTTTCTTTTTGCTTTTGAAGCCTTCCTTTTTTTTCTTTTTCTTTTTTTTTTTTGACGACGGAGGTAGTCGACATCTGTCAAGCTTGCACAAGCTGAGCTTGGTGTCGACCATGTCTACCGTTTTTGTTCTTAAAAAAAAAAAAAATCGCCATCTGTGGCTGCGGTTGAATGCTGCACATATGTTAACTTATCTATTTATTTAATTATTATTTATTTCGATAAACAGATTACGACTGTGCAAATCCTGATGGATAGAATTTCGTTAGGGGGGAATGTCGTTTTCAGGGGGGGGAGTGGGAGGGGGCAGAAACGCGGGACGTGTCATACGGTTGTCGTTTTTTAATATTCACTATTCTCCCTTGCTCCCTGCTGTTCAGAAAATAATGCAAAAGTAGATGGAGCTATTATTATTATCATCATTTATTATATATATTTATTATGTAGTGTTTTATTACATCGAGCTATTATTGATAAATAGCCAGGTAGCAAATTCGGATACGGGGCAGATATCCGGCGGTGCGCAAAATAGGGTTTTTAACTTCAAAAAAAAAAAAATCTAAAAAATCTTGAAAAAAAAAAAAAGTTGTAAATAGTAACGATACAAACAACTTTTGGCTTGATACCATCTTTGATAGCTCAACAAATATGAAGATAAAAAAACAAAATAGAAAAACAAAACAATATTTAGATTAGAAAATGAACTAAGCATCCCCCCTCTAAACCCCCTTCATTCCCTATCTATATCCCCTTTGAACCCTTTGATGATCTATCTAGCTATTTCATGAAATAAAAACGTAGTTCTACTGTACTTTGCATGCGCAATAAAAACGAAGAATTTTTGTCGGACTCACGTGAGATTGCAATCACATCAGCAGCCTGACCTCGTTTTTTCTGTCTTTTTTTTTTTTCCTCTTTGGCGCGGGGGGAAAGGGGGAAAGTGGGGGGGGTAGAGGGAAGTGAGGGGGGGGAGGGGAACCCGGGATAATCCTGCAGACGGATAGTCTGGTCAGATAACCCGTGCTACCTAGATATTAAACAGGTCGTAATTTGGAGTAAAAAGTTTTAACTAAAATTAGAGAAAACAAAACCATAATTTGAAAAAACAACAACAACAACATAATTTGTAAGTCCCTACGTATGCCTTGTGGAACTATTTTAATAAATACATGGAAGCTATTTTGATAAACAGATTATGAGTTCCAATCCCAACTATGTTATGGATTATACCCTCTTTTTTTTTTTTTTTTTTTAGCTGATAAATAAATTATGAGTTCCAACCCCCAGATAAACAAGTAGTCCCATGTCATATTCCAAATGTGAAAGTTTGAGCCCGGGGTCGTCACAATCGCCCGGGATTATACCCTCTTAACCCAGAGAAAAAATAAGTGGGCCCTCCCATAAAAATAAAAAAAAAACAGAAAGAAAATCGGACCATTTCTCGATTTTGCCGTAGCGGCTATGTTGATTTCATGTCTACCCTTCCATTTGTGATAGATGTCCCCGAAAGTGACTTAAAAAAAAAAAAAAAAAAAAAAAGCTGAAAACGTCGTTCTCGATTTTGACACATGTCCCAATCGAAGAAACCGAAGAATGAAGAAAGAAAAAAAACGAAGAATTTTTGTCGGACTCACGTGAAATTGCAATCACATCAGCAGCCTGACCTCGTTTTTTCTGTCTTTTGTTTTTTTCCTCTTTGGCGCGGGGGGAAAGGGGGAAAGTTGGGGGGGTAGAGGGAAGTGAGGGGGGGAGGGGAAAAGTGGGGGCGGGGGGGGGGGGGTGGGGGGGGGGGATTGCAAGGGGGAAAGGGCGGGGGGGTACGGAGGGTGGAAAGGGGTTGCTTTCGGCGATGTGTGAATTTTTGTGGTTGAGCAGCAGTCGGCAGCGTTCTGCTATTTTCCTGGGATCAGCGAGTGACAAGTATTTTCATAGGAAATGATAATTAAATTATTAAATTCTTAGTCAAAAAATTGGTCGGTCAGGTCGATGGACTGAATTGATATGTGCATGGATTGTGTCCTTTTTTCAATCATCCGCAGTCACTTTCTCAATCATTTGCATCTTGTGTGTAGGTGATAGTTCTGTGAAACATCGCATTTTGCTCAATCGATCGGAATCGACTCTCTCGACCGATTATTTGCCTAATTGGTAGATTGGTTAATTACTAATTAGGTTTGATTGCTTGCATTCGTCAAAGATATGAAAAATCCGATCGCTTGATTGCACAGCCGTGGGATTGGATTTTTTGATTGGATCTGATTAGATTTTGATTGGATTTGTGTCGGATGTCGATGGCGTTACTCGTAGATATGGAGAATTTCCGGCCGGTCGTCTTTCATAATTGATTTGATGACAACTCGCTGTTCGTCCTTAAAAAAATTCCCCCTCTTAGTCGTCATTGACTGTCTTTCTTTTTTTTTTAATTAGATTTAAGTAAAAGACAATATAGGATTTTTGGCGCGCATAAGAAAATGTGGTATTTGTGTTATTTTATTCATCGCCACCTGGACTTCCGGATTGCTGAGGTGGAGTCATTGGCGCGCATTGCGGGTTGTTGCTCCAGCGTGGATGACTCGAATCCCCGATCTCCTCCTCCCCCTCCTCCTCCTTCTCCTCCTTCTCCTCCTCCTTCCCCTCGTTTGGCCTGGCGTCTTCCTGATGGGGATCATCCCGACTCTCCCTTCTGGTTCGTCGATCTCCCATCCAACGACGCAGCGCTGGCCATTGTCCGACGTGGCATTCTGCTCAAGGGAGTATTTGAGGTCTGGGGGGAGGGAGCCACCTATGACGAGCTCGAGAATTCCGTTAAGTCTTATCTAACGGTGGAGAAAGAGAAAACGGCGGCTTACTTAACGGCCGGCAGCTCGTTCAAGATCGTAGTGGACGGGTTCGGCAAAATCTTCAGCATGCAGGAGCAGATCCAGCGAATCGAACGGCTGTCCTACATTCCTTTTCAGGGCAAAGTCAATCTCAAGAGTCCCGACCACAAGTTCTGGCTGATTGAGTCGGTGGTAGGAGAGGGGGTGAACAACGGCCTGCCGCCACGGGTGCCACGTCGGATCTATTTCGCGCGAGAGGTGGGGTGTTCCAATCGCACGATCGTCAGCACCTACACGCTGAGCAAGCGGCGCTACCTTGGGCCCACCTCCATGGACGCCGAGATGGCTTTCATCATGGCCAATCAAGCTCTGGCGATGGCTGGCAAGCTCATCTACGATCCCTTCGTCGGGACCGGGAGCGTGCTGATCGCGGCGGCGCACTACGGCGCGTACACGGTCGGGGCCGACATCGACATCCGGGTCGTCCGCGACGGCAGAGGTCGGGATCGCAACATCTGGAGCAACTTTCAGCAGTACGGGTTGATGCCCCCGCTGTCTCTTCTTCGCGTTGACAACAACGTTAATCCATGGCGAACGGACCTGGACGAGGTGTTCGACTCGGTGCTGTGCGATCCGCCCTATGGAGTGAGAGCGGGGGGCAGGAAATCTGGCGGGAGGAAGATGCTGAATGGGAGAGTGGAGCCGTACGTCATTCCCGAGGAAATGAAGTCCGATCATATTCCATCAACTGCGCCTTACACGTTGGAAGAGTGCTTGCAGGACATGCTGGATATGGCGTCCAGGCTGTTGGTGATGGGAGGGAGGCTGGTGTTCTTCTTCCCCGTGCTCAGGGAAGAGTACAAGGAGGAGGAGGATCTGCCCCGGCATGCTTGCCTGCACCTGGTCGCGAATAGCGAACAGATTCTGACGAGGCGATGGAGTCGAAGACTGCTCACGTACGAAAAGGTGACCAGGTACACTGCAGATATGGCTAAGGAGGCCAGAGCCAAGCACGAATATTTCAGAATTAATCATTTGAAATTCCTCGAAGAGGCGCGCGCCAAGGCCGACCTCAGGGCCGCGGTCTTCGCGCCGAGGCGGGCGGAATGGTTTCCTGATTTGGAAAGTGGAAGTCCATCCATGGACGGGGGGGGGGGGGGGGATGGGACAGTCAATGGCGCCAACGAGCACTCGGTCGCGACGGCAGCGAGAAGACCAAGGTACCGAGGCAAGAATGTTTGATGAAAATTTTCTCTGCTCTTTTTTTTTTTGGCGATTTGGGGGGAGTTGCTGGGGAAGGGGGGGGGGGTGATAAATTGAGATAATGTTACTGTATTTGTTGCAGAGCCATGTGATCATTGATCGCGTATCAGTTTCGAGGGTCATTTCACATTTTCCGATTCGATTTGTCGATGTCGTATTTTGCCAAACGTAACCCTCTTTTCGTTCTCCTCAAATGCGCCAAGCAAGCTCAGAAGAAGAAGAGGAAGAAGAGGAGGAAGAGGAAGAAGAAGTTCGATTTGAATTTCTGCCATATCCAATCTCGTGCCACGACTGTTACCCATAGGTTCTGTTCTTCTTCTTCTTGTGTGTGTGGTTTGGGGTGTGTGTGTGGGGTTTGTGTGCGTGTGTGTGTGTGGTGTGGTGTGTGTGTGTGGGGGGGGGGGTTGCGTGTGTGGTGTGTGGTGTGGTGTGTGTGTGTGTGTGTGTGTGTTTGTGGTGTCATGTTTGCTATACACATGCCAGACTGTTTCGTCGGACTTCGAGCTGCTCATCAGGAGGTTGAACGTGGACAGACAGTCTGACCAGGATGCAGTTGACGAACTGATGGATAAGGACTCACCACATCGCCCAGAGTTAGCGATACCCATCCTTGAGAGAGAAAAGTGGTCGACTTTACTCACACCAACCCTGCAATCCTACCAGACTGCCTGTCCAGACCCCTGACAAGAATGGCAGTAAGTCTGAGAAACTAATCTGAAACAGCCATAAAACCCACTCTACACAGTGTGTGTGGGTGAGCTATAGGGTGAGAGAGAGAGAGCGTGCGTGTGTGTGTGTGTGTGTGTGTGTGTGTGTATGTGTGTGTGTATGTGTGTGTGTGTGTGTGTGTGTGTGTGTGTGTG